GCCGGGCTCCCTGAGGGGCTGCGGGGGCGCCGGACCCCAGACCCGCTCCCCGCCGCCTCACCGCTTGCTGCCCTCAACAGGTTCTTGTTCTCTTTGCAGAACATGGATCACGGAAGGGCTTGGGGCTACCTGACCTTCAGAGGTAAAAGGGGCTTGTCTTCCTACATGGGAGGGTGGGAGCTGTGCAGGAAAACCGCAGCCTTCCTCCTTGGGAAATTCCTTTTTCTCAGATGATAGAAGATCGAGTTGGAAGAGGGGCCCATGAGGGGAGTGGGAGAGCTGCAGGAAAACCGCAGCCTTCCTCCTTGGGAAATTCCTTTTTCTCAGATGATAGAAGATCTCGAGTTGGAAGGGACCCATGAGGATCATCGAGTCCAACTCCCTGCTCCTCGCAGGAGATCCGCTAATGAGAAAAGCAGCTCTCCGTGTCCTGGTTTCAAATGCTGGGATCTAGCCCTCACAGAATGCGTTTCTAAGGAACGTTGTGGGAAAGCCAGTGTAGGCTGACGGTGGGGAAAGACAGCGTGCCAGCGGGGGATTAGATGAGGCGACAGGCTGTTTTGAGACTTGGAAAGCAAGACACAGAATGAACACATGAGGGTATTCCAGCTAAAATGATCAGTAAAACAGGAGTGATGGCAAGTAAACTTACATTACTGGGATTTTAAATTAACGCTTGGAGTTGAGAGAGTGAATTTCCCTTTTTAAAGCTGCTTTATATTAGGCATATGATTGTCACTTACTAGAGTTCCTGAAACATTTCCCATTCAAAGGTTTTAAAGTTGTTGGGTATTTTTAAAGTTAAATTTCCCAGGGAACTTTTGTCAGTGTAGAGAGAAACTATTCTCGTTCCTTAGCCATGGAAACCGAACCAGAGAGAGATGAAGTGACATTTTAAATTAAGAGAATTGGAACGACTTGCCTGTAGTCCTTTCAGCCTGTTTCTGTTTTGATTTCCAAGGATGGAAGTGGGATCCCATAGTGTAGCAGGGAAGATACTGTCCGATCCTTTGAAAACTTCCTTTACTATTGCTTGTTGTAGCATCTTTGATACCAGAGAGTCGACACTTGCTGCATTTCCCGGAGGGAGTTTGTTGTCAATAGCATTGTCCACTGGTGTTCATCACCTTTTCTCAGGCAAAACCAAAGAAGAAGTGAGAGAGATCGACAAAGTCATGTACCATGACTGGCGTATGGTGCCCAAGCATGAGGAGGAAGCCTTCAAGAAATTCACCCCAGTGCCAGAGGAGACCATTCGGTACCTTCCGTACCCGCCTCTGCTCCGAGCCATGATCCTTGCGCAGTGGCAGAAAGAGGGAAAACCAATCACAGAGGAGCCAATGATTGATCTGGAGAAGGTCATGGCCTCTCCCCATCAGGGTGCAAAGAAAAAAGCTAGAGGGACACCAGTATAAAGACTTGTTCTATGTCCTGAGCTTCCCACATGCTCTCGCTGTGTGTTAGAAGCACGTCATCTTACAGAAGACCCCCTTGTCCACTGTGGTATGGTGTATCCCGGTTTCCTAGCTTTCTCCCCAGCCCTGCACAGTCACCTCATCTGAAGGGAGAGAGGCAGATACGTTCAGATTTTTTTTTCCATAACTTTGGTCTCAGTCAGCAGAAGAACCTTTTTGGTTCCCTGTATAGTCTCTGAACGCATAGCTCCTGTCATCCAGCTACAATTCTTTGGGGCACAATTTCCTCTACAGCCTGAAAATTAGGTTTTTAAGAACATTTTTCAGATAATCTGGGTCCTACATAAATCACAGAAAAATGACTGAGAATATCACGTTATTTCACAGATCTGCGTACAAATGTATCTGCTAACGAAAATAAATGTTTTCTTATTTCTGCAGCACAGTTCTAAGAAAACTTGGTATTTTTTTCAGTGCATGGAGATCATCATGAGGTCCAAATGCAGAGTCATTAGCTTACCAAATACAGGCACAGCACTGGATTCCTCTTAACCACTGCAGAATCGTCTGGGTTACTTACAGATGGTGGCAATGAACAACACGGGAGGAACACAACTTGACTTTGGATCCTAAGCTTATCCAAAGCTATCCATCTCTCATTCCCAGAGATGGCTGTCAGGACATAGGAGAAATCATTTTAATGCCGGTGATGCAAAGTATACAGGATTGGCTCTTACTATTTGAAGCCAATCACAAATTACCACCTGTTCCAGTGCAGCGCATTGTGGTGAACATTACAAAAATGCAACTCCTTAGTGCAGTTGTTAGCATTTCATTTTCTCTTGCGGTGGCTGTGGGTTCTGCTGCTGTGTCAGGAGCTGTGGAGGGTCTAGTCTAGGTGGGGGTGGAGGGGGAACAAGAGCTGTTCTGGTCTGTAACCCTGCAGATCAGCTCCCTGCAGAAACAGCTATTTAGTTCTTTTGTCTGCTGTAGTAGGCAGTCAAGAGGTGCTGTTCCATTTGCTGCAGCATCCTGAAATCGCAAGTAGCCGGAAGGGATTTACTGAGGGAAAGCAAAAACTGGACGCTCTGCCCTGCCCAGTGTGCATGGCAGGCCTGGATAGGACAGGGGAACACGTGGCCTCAGCCACCAGGAAAAAGGCTGTCATCAGGCAGGGCCAAACACATCGACGTTGGCTACCTGGACTTCCCATGGGGTTCCTCACCAGAGGCTCCTACGGGACAAGAGGGAAGGTTTTTCTCATGAGTTAAAAGCTGGTCCTGTGACAAGGCGTGAAGGCTGGGAAGAGCTCGGCTCTTGTCCCTCTGTTGTGGCAGGTGTGCTGCAGGGCACAGGCCAGGGCTGGTTCACTGGATGCAGAAGCAACAGGAGAATCCAGGGGAAGGAAGATCCAGAGTGTCGCTAAAGGCACAAACAGTTTGAGGCTGTGAGACTTGCCGCTGCAGCTGCAGCTGATGGAAAACAGCTTCTCTGGTTTCCATAGCCTCTGCTGCCAGGTGCTGGGCTGAGCTAGTGCCTTATTGTCCTTAACATGATTGAGGTGCTACCAAACCAGCACACCAACCCAGGTGGGAAAGGAGGTGTAGATGTGAGTTAGATGGGATGAGTAGAACAATCTAGTCCTCTGTCCTGCACAGCCAGGAGCTGAACGCAACCCCAGCACAGGCAGTGCCCTCCCTGATGGGGCACAGGCCCATGGAGTCTGGCTACAGTGAGCAGAGCCAAGTGCTGGTAACAGGGTCCACCAACTGCCCCAGACAAGGCAAGAAATGACCCACGACCAGGGTCCACCCAGGGAGCCCAGCCAGGAGCAAAAGCAGAGGGAGATAATACACCGTAAGGCATAGAGTGATAAAATGGCTTGGGTTGGGAGGGACCTTTGAAGATCAGCTAGTCCAAACCCTCCCAAGTCCAAGGGGTCCATCTAGGAGCAGCTGAAGATAGGATAGGCACAGCTACAGCACAGCTCAGGCAAAGACTGAAGGCCCCAGCCAGTGCTTAGATGAGACCCCTGGGCCATGGAAAGGGTCCATGTACCAGTCGGGGCCCAGGTGAGGCTGATCAGGACAATCATGGCCTGCTGGTGACCTCAGGGTCTTAACGCTTGGGGGAGGGTGTCTTCACACAGAGCCCCGGGGCAGCCTTGTCTGATTGTGAAGGTCCCTTCTGGAAAGCTGCAAAGCCCCCATTTGCCATGGTGTGGGATTCAATGCCTGGAACATACCGTGAGCTCTGCCGGGACTCTCAAACCCGTGCATTAACCTCCTGGATTTTTTAACAGCGTGGGGTGGTTGTCTGAAGGATGATGGTAGTGAGCCCCTTTCTCAGCCACCCAGATGGGTGCCAGACATGGCTGAACTTCACCCCATGCGTCGCTCAAACTGCTCCTGGCTGCATCAAAAGGTGCAGCCCCAGGGGTGCGGGACAGGTCCCAGGCCTGTTTCCAAACCTCATTGTCAAGGTGCTTCTAGTAACCCAGGAGGCATTGCCTCCTGTACTTCACCCTGGCCTGCACAGGACCGCAGTGCAGGTGTTAGTCATGGTGCTGCTCAGGGCAGAAGCCGCTCCTGGCGTAAGGAGGCAGCTCCCTTGTCTATTATTGCTATGTACAGCCCTTGGATTAATGCAGTTCTACAAAATAAATATGAACATGTCTAAGTACTGCTGGGACTAAGAGGAACTCGCTTCCTGCTGCGCTGAATGTCACCGATTCCTATGGGACACTGTGAAATACCACCCTGTATTGGCAGGAGACACTGGTAAATTGAGTGTTGAAACCTGAGCCTGATGTGTTAACCCTGGCAGCTCACCTGAAGGGGACACCAGGAGGACAGCTGCAGCTAGCCAGCAGCTGAATGGTTGTCTTTTCCACCTTTTATTTCTGACGCTGGGAGAAGCTACACATTGCACTGTGGCTTGCAAGACCAGCCCCTTCTGTTCTGACCTGGTGAGCAATCCACATCTCATTTCTTGCCACTAAATTGGTCAACGGTGAACACCTGAGCTGCCATTCCCACTCTTTTAAGTGTCTTGCCGTTATTAAAGACTGAGCAGAAATCCCAGTCCCTTTATAGGAACAAAACGCCCGGCACTTGCTGATGTTAACACATTTATTACATACAGAACAGATATGGTTTGTTGTTTGATAGCATAGGGGACAAAGCAAGGGAACGTATTCATACAGCAGTCTCTTTACAGAATGCCATCTTCAGAACAAATAGCGGAGTTTACAGGCCTTAAGACACTTTTTAAAATCCTTTTGTAACATACAAGATACTTTACATACATCACAGTGGAGATATGACAGGGAAGTGTGTTGAAGCCAGTCAGTTCTCACCTTGCTGCCCAGCAGCCACCAAACGCCCACAGGAGCTGGTTCTACTTAGCTGTAGCTGTCCCTCTTAGACATGTGCTTCTCTTGGAGGAAAACGTGCACTGAGCTGGAAAGGAACCTGTCGGTTAGAGGCCCAAGACCGGTTTCCTTACGTTGCCAGGGCCTGGTGGGTGACAGGAGACCGAGTACTGTCACTTCAACTGCTAAAACCAGATAGAGAACAAACAATAAGAGGTAAGAACATTGCAATTCTGTATTTTCCTATGGAAGAGTCGATAGAGCTAAGGAACCAGGCCTACTAGGCTGCCTTTTTTTTCCTTCAATTAGCCCAAATTATGAAGTTTACCTGGCCCTAACTGATGAACTGTTACATGTTTGTGGAATCTGTGGTCTAAATGTTGATCTTGTTAACTTTAATGCACTCTGTGTTGTGATCCAAAGAGCTCTTCCTAGCAGAAAGCATTTTGGGAACGTGAATGAGAAGTCTGGCACGGTCAGCAGTGGCCCGGTGAAATGTCCCCCTGCATGCAGGTGGCGGCTCCAAGCACCCCTTAGCCAAATGCCAGCCACAGAGCCTGGTGTGCCGAGGGCTGGAGGACACCATCCAGCTGGTTTCCTACCTCGGTGAAGAGTGGTGTGGGTGCACGTGTCACCAGCACCGCTCACAGGCAGCGTGGGCACCACTGCGGCTCCGTACTTTGGTGGCTGAGGCTTCTGTTCTCCAGAGATGTCCTCTTGCCCCAGCTCTTTCTGAACTGTGGATCCAAAAATCATTTCAGTGCTGCTGCATCAGGACAGATGCCACATGTTAGAGCTTCCCCTGGGAATGCTGCATCCCTGCAGTACATGAGTAGCTTTAGACCACAAGCCTTGGGGGCAGCCTGGTCTGTGGCAACAAGCACAGGACACAGCTGGGAGCTTCCCAGGAGATGGAGGCTTTCCCCAGTTGTCCCCATACTGCCACACTGGCACAAGGACATCCCTGTGAACCCTGGCGTGCTGCACAGCTCAGGGAAGAAACAACATGACCACCAGGAGCTTCCAAATTCATCACTAACAACTGCTACTCGCTCTAGTCCTGCACATCCAGGAGGGAGTGTCCAAAGGAAACAGAACTTGTCCTTGTGGAGACAGGACTGTTTCCGCTGTCAGAAAGGGAGAACAAAACATTGCCTCTACATCTGGAGCTGCCATGTTCTGCATCTGGGGCTCAAAACCGCTCTCCCTGGCCCCATTTTTTGCTGCTTCTCTTGTAAGGAGGATGCACGTTTGCAATCCCCCAGCACTGCTGACAGAAGGAGGGCCATCAGAATTTTTCTCGGGGGTTGTCAATTCTTTTCAGGAGTCAGAAATTTCCAGCTTTTCAAACTACTTAGTAACAAAGTCAGTGCTTGCAATGTTAGGTAAAAGAGGTCGGGAGATCTGGCCTCAATTCCTTTTTCTGTGTGACCTCAGGTGAGACACAGCCTTTCTATACCTTGACTGCACCTACACAGTCTTTCCTAACCAACAGCCACAGTGTGAAGGAAAACAGCCATCTCCTCCAGCAGCTCCCAGGATGGGGACACAGCCTTATGAGTCAAGGTAATCTCAATGTGTTAATGCAGAATTCACAGCAGACCAACATCATCTGCCCTCGCTTGTGTTTTAAAAGCCAACAAATGCTATGCAGAGATAGCTTTCTCCTGAACCTTTCAGAATGAATGAACTCAAGAGTTCTTTTCTGCCTGGCATTTTTGGAAGGGGGAGTTAAAAGTATTGCTGCCTTTTCTGCTCTTAAAAAAGCAAGGTTCCAGTACCCCTTTGCTACCACAGTTTCAAAAGGCCCTGTGGCCTCCACAATCAAACACCTGTCTCCCATCTGAGGCTACCAGACAATCCTCCCCGGACACACACAGTCACCCAGCACACGACTGCTGAGACAAGAGCAGCAGCAGAGGAGGGGGACTTCCCATCTGCAAGCGTGGAGGATGTGTTCCTCACAGTAATGGCACTGCTGCCTTCTCCAGCCAAACAGCAGAAGTGCTGCCCAAACCCTGACACTCCTTTCTATCGAGGGTTCCTTGGACCTGGCTGCTCTCAGTCCGTGG